GTTTCAATACAAGCATTTCAGTCAAATGTAATTTATGCAATATTTCAAACCTTTAACCCACTTGGGAAAATCAACCCATGGCAATAGTTTAAAAGTATCCCAATTCTGTGGAAAAAACGCGGACTTGGCAACCCTCCATCCAACAAGAGCTACAGGAGTCAGCTTTGCCTGATCACAGGTCGAGAATAAGGAGAGATGACTGACAAGACCATGCTGGAGTATTTGCTGCTCAACAGATTCTGAGCTCATTGACAAATATCTGATCTTGTAAGATGTGCTTGCTCCCTTTACACAGAGTGCGTGTGATTGCGAAATCGAAAGTGAAAGTAAACAGCGCAAACGCTCATTCAAAAATATTTAAATACACTGAGAGCGGAGAGCGGCTCCCTGTTGCGCCAAAATTATACACAATATTAGAATGTTTAAAGGAGTGAACACATGTTGCGCGGGAGCGAAACACATGTTGCGGGAGCAGGCGGCAATGGTCAGAGATTCAGCGGGAGCGGGATTAAGAAAACAGCCGAATCCCAGACATTTTGGGCAATTAAGAAATCCCAGCCGGACGCATTTTTATAGGTCCAAAAAGAGGACATGTCCGGGGAAAAGAGGACGTATAGTCACCCTACTATTATGCAGTGTAAGCTGTGTTTGCCTAGGGAGACCAAACTAGCAGCTTATTTAATCTCGACATCAACCCTTCGCAAGCATGTATAGGTTGTATATACTTGCATCGTTGCATTGGTGGTTAAGCCTTGACAGTTTAGCAAAAGGTTTTGCACAAATTAGCCAAAGAGACAGTGGTGCAGGGTGTGCGATATATATCGTCTGCAATAATATCGTAATTGTTGTTTTAACGATGTGCAATTTGACATTATCAGTATTTAGCCAAAAACCAAACAAAACACGCCTACAGAGTGCCGTGAAGTCTAGTACATTAGTCTAGTGCGAGCGCGCATTTAGAGTGTGTTCTTTCACTGCGTGATTCAGTCTGTTAAAATGCAGTTAGAATGATCACAAAATTGAAGATATAGGGGCATAACATGTATATATTTATATCATTTCATATAGTAAATCAATATCACACAAAGAGTGCTGTTTTTTCTCCAAAAGCATGATTAAATATAGATTTTTTTTTACAACAGTTCAATAAACAAGAAGTTAATTAAGAGACTTGCGTTTTAGACACCAGATCGCCTGTTTTTGCTCAATTTCGACAACAAAAATAATTCCAGACACAGCCACCATAGCACAGGTTGACATTATCAGTATTTTGCCAAAAATCAAACAAAACACTCCTACAGAGTGCCGTGAAGTTTAGTAGATTAGACTAGTGTGCGCGCATTTAGAGTGTGTTCTTTCACTGCGTGATTCAGTCTGTTAAAATGCAGTTAGAATGATCACAAAATTGAAGATATAGGGGCATAACATGTATATATTTATATCATTTCATATAGTAAATCAATATCACACAAAGAGTGCTGTTTTTTCTCCAAAAGCATGATTAAATATAGATTTTTTTTTACAACAGTTCAATAAACAAGAAGTTAATTAAGAGACTTGCGTTTTAGACACCAGATCGCCTGTTTTTGCTCAATTTCGACAACAAAAATAATTCCAGACACAGCCACCATAGCACAGTTTTGCGTCTCTGAGCAACATGACGGTGTGTTTCGTTCCTGAATGAATCAACCGTTTAAATGATTCGGTTCAATCGCAGTGACTCACTGATTAACAGTGACTTGCTACCACCTACTGGCGGTTTTAATTTCACATTTAAAGTATCTTTTGATTTTTTTTTTTTTTATAATTTCAAATGAGTATTCAACATTTTATGTCTTATATATCAAAACATTATTTCTGCATTTGTAACTGCAGGTTAAATGCATTCGTGTCCTGCATTAAACAGTGAGTAAACACATCTAAATGCCACTTCAGATGCATCTTCTGTGTTTCCTCTGCATTGCAAAGATGAATTTTGTTGATATACTGATGTAATTTGCCTGGTAACAGCCCAAATGTCTTATTATTCTAAATAACTGATTCCGTTAATTAAAAACAACTAGTTTGACACCCTTGGCCTATCCCATTTTTGCCTCCCTCCTACTGTTAAAATGTAACTTTAAATGTAAAATGTTAAAATGTAAGTACGAGTAAGAGTACATTTTAAATGAGCTACTTTTTACTTACTTGAGTAGATTTTTAGACTGGTACTTTTACTTGTACTTAAGTAAAATTTCATTAATGTAATGGTACTTGAGTAGAATATTTTATAAATAAAATACTTCCAATTCATTTGGTTTATTTTGCTGTGGTACTGAAATTGATTCTGAAAATCATTTGTTGTAATGTATAATTAAGAGCTCATATTAAAGAGCTGCTTTTATAGTCAAGTCATGGCCATAAACTGTATGTTTTTAAAGACTTCTCCAGAGAGGAATATATTACTTTAGGGCGTTCTCCTTGTCTTTTATTCCCGCCATAATTAAAATAAAAATGTCCTGGAAAATGATCACCGAAAAAGAGTGGGAACCCTGGAAAGTCATACAAATTATGAAAATAAATCTAGGAATTATTGGTTTGTTGGACTTCAGATCAGTAGGGGTTGAGGCATCATAAGTAACTAGCTGTTTTATGAATGGTAACTGTAATATTATTACTGAAATCTAGTAATTAGTCATTTGTTACACTGCTAGTTACTGCACAAAGTAATATTATTACTGCTCATCCTATTCGAACCACCAAACGAGAAGTAGATGTACTTTGCAGTTTGTTTGCAATAATGTATATTATCTTATTTTTTTAATACTTGACAAATAGTAGCAGTGTATTATTGTCAAACTGTTTGCAGCTTTTTTTTTTTTTTTGGCAAAGCTGATGCTCTAAATAACCACAAGATGGCACAGCTAGACAGGGAGTGTGTGAAAGATATTCCTGCCAATTAAAGTTGAAGATTAAATCTTAAATATTGTGTGCTGTAATGTTACAATATACCTTTTTTAATTTTTTTCTGAAAATCTCCAGATCTTTAACTTGATAGTAGTTCAGTGATTTGCAATTTTTCGCTTTATTTTGCTATTGCATTCTATTTTTTGAGTCCCTTTTTTATATGTACAAACGGCGTGCATTATGAGAAAAGTAACTTGGGAAGTTAATATCCCAGCAACAGTTCTGTATTTGGCCAATCACCTCTGCAGGTACTGCATGGCTCCATGACGAGCGCTCTCATTGGTGGACAGTGATGTAATGTTTTGGTGCAGGAAGGAGATCAATGATGTAATCATATTTCTCTTGCAGGCAATACATGAACAAGAAAGGTGGTTTCAACAGACCTTTGGATTTCATTGAGTCATCTGGAAGCACGTTTGAGCGACTTTGGCATCTTTGTGATGAAAACGTGTATTCCCATTTCTTCCCCAAGTTTATGTAAATATGTGTTTCAGCAGTTTTCCATCTGTTTTGTTTTTCAGTCAGTGGCTGTTATGTAAGTGTCAGTGCAGTTTCTAGTAGCTAATTTTAGGATTGTTTGTTTTGAATACCTTATTCAGTGAAAACTTTGCAGTGCTAAATAAATGGAAACTCTTGATGAATGTGTTTCTTTTTGTCAATTAGTGTGTTATTGTGCAGTTTTAGCATCATTCAACCATCACATCTTTTATTTATTAATGTGTATATATATATATATATGTGTGTGTGTGTGTGTGTGTGTATATATACAGGTGCATCTCAAATTAGAATGTCGTGGAAAAGTTCATTTATTTCAGTAATTCAACTCAAATTGTGAAACTCGTGTATTAAATAAATTCAATGCACACAGACTGAAGTAGTTTAAGTCTTTGGTTCTTTTAATTGTGATGATTTTGGCTCACATTTAAC